AAATGTTTTGACACCTAAAACCCTTTAAACACTCAAAACTAAATTTTAGTAGAACATAATTAATCCAAACATAAATAATATAAAAAAATTATTTTGAAAAAGTGGTATTTTTGTAAAGATTTCAAAAGTATGACATTTTTGTAAAGTAACATTTGAAAAATGACATTTTTTTAAATTTATCATATATTTATTACAAAAGTATGACACCAGCCGGTGACAATAAAGATTTGTTTTGAGAAATTACTTAAAAAGAAGTAAAATTCGCTAAACATCTTATAACCAAATTTTTTTCATAATTCAGTATTATTACACCCCAACCAAACGATTTTATCACCATTTTCTTTTTTTTTCATGAAAATTTTCAAAAAATATCATTTTTCAAGTGTCACTTTATTAAAATACCATACTTTTGAAATCTTTACAAAAATGCCACTTTTTCAAAATTATTTTTTCTTTATATCATTTATGTTTGGGTTAATTATGTTCTATTAGAGTTTAGTTATGAGGGTTTAGGGGGTTTTAGGAGTCAAAACATTTTTTAGGTTTAATAATTTTAAAATATATGCTTTATAAATCTATAATTAGTGGTATTTTTACAAATAGACACCCCTAAATGATATTCTTATAAATGTCCACAAAAAAGTGGCATTGTTGTAATTACTCTTTTTTTCATTGGTTCGATTACAATCTTAATTGTTACTACCGTTCTTAGCTTATAGACTTATTATCATGTCTTTTTGTTTGTTTTGAAGTCGACTTGTTATGTTGATCTATTATTCGAATAATTGAATAAATATTAGATATTATTAGATTGGACCGGACTATATACAATCTATATATATAGTGTTCCAGACCATATAACTAGAGTTGTTGGTCGCAACAAAAAAAAAATTGTTGTGAAAAAAGATAAGACTATAACAAGAGTTTGAATATAAATTAGATGTATACGTTTGAGTAGTTTTAACTGCATACATAAACATAAACTGTACGTAGGTATCGTCCAGAATAATAACATTCATCGATTGGAAAAGGTCGAATATGTTAAAAAAATGTTTATGTATATAAAGAAACTATTAATAATGCATGAATCATAATATTTAATACAAAGTTCAGAGAAATGGTTGTCAACAAAAAAAATGTAAGGGGTCGGATTTCAAAAAAAATATTTATCGATATGGCGATAAGATCAACTCCATAACGTTCGACGAAATCAAAGCAAGTCTACAAAATCCCAGTCTGAATCTATGAGCAAAATGGGTTTAATGAAATAATAGACCTAAATTTGATATACTGTTTAGTGAGTCAAGCCCATTTTATTATTTGGCCTATTTTACATAGAAATTCTATATATAGCTCATTGTACTCACCCAAAGGAGGATGGAGAATTCGTTTGACAAACACTTGTATTCTGAAACAGCTTTCTAACAGCTTAATAAAAACCTCTCTTCAGATCTTTACGTTTGGTAGCTTCTCGCAGAACTTTACAAATCCTAAAAAGTTACTTAGTTTTATTGTGAGATTCAACCTCCACAATTTGGAGCCATCTAAGGGGAAAGTAAAGCTTCTTACTCAAAAAACACCACTGCGCCGAGATCAGAAGAGATGACCATCAACAAAGACAACAGCGACAGCAACCCGAAGAAAATTGTCGCGGACGGATCTACAGCAAAAGACACCGCAGCGGACAAACCCGGAGAGAAGAACACCGCGGCGGGCGGATCTACGCAAATATAAACGCCGCCAGCCACGGAAGAAAATTTCGACCCTCTGGCTCACATAAAGAACATGTTCGAAGAAATTCTTAAAAAATCAAAGGAGCAGGATATCTTCAACAACACGGTGCTAAGCCGACTGGACTTCCTCGCTACTGCTAGCAGCCGCGGCAACAACAGTGGAAGCAGCAGCAGCGAGGACTCTTCGGCATCACCGCCAGACAACATGACCAGTAGCGGCAGCAGGAGCGAGGACTCTTCGGCATCACAGCCAGACGACACGAGCACCAGGAGCAGGCAGGCAGGCGACGATGCTATCAACGTCACCGCGATGATCCGGCAGCCTTGGACGAACTGAAGGACATCTTGAAGACGCTTCTCAAGAAGTCAGCGGAGCAGGAGGACAAAGTGAAGATTCTCACAACAGCAAGTAAGGCGCACAAGAAGGACAAAGCGCGACTAACACTTGGGCGGTTAACCCCGCACGGCCTGAGCTTCTCGACGTTGCGCACTGCACGCAGAACCAGAAGTGACTTGCCATTACCACCGTCGCTGCGAATGGCGGATCCAACTCCAGAACGAGCCAACGGAACAACAGACACATGACCAGCTATTTCAGGAGGGATCGCGCAGGAACGCCAAGCTGCTTCAGAAGGGATCGCACAGGAACGCCAAGCTACTTTAGAAGGGATCGAGCAGGAACGCCATGCTGCTTCAAGAAGGATCGTGCGAATGGTCGCATAGACGACAATCCCCGCAAAGCACGCACCTAAAAAAATCGTAGCGCACCTGGAGAGAGAGACATATCCCAGACTCGTCGGAACAGCGCGGACATCGAGCGCGACCAAGATATCGCTAACGAATAAGGAAAGCTATACTGGACCAAGCAGTTCGAGCTCGAACAGGAACGCAAGGCCCTGCTCCAAACTCAGAACGACAAGATGGCCAAGATGCATGCACAGCTGGAGTGCACCGCCTCTGACTTAAGGGTTGCGCAGTCCCATATGCACAGGTTTAACACCCAAGACATCCAAAGCAACGCGAGATATATCTAAACTCTCAAGCACAATTGTGCTAGTATTTGGAAGAGTTTTGAACAAGAAAATACGAGCACTAATGAGGGCATTACATAGCTTACAACGTGCCTTAACGTCACTACAATCAAAGCTTGTCAAGTCGAGACAACGTTGAACAAAATAACA